TGTCTTTCAACAAAAAACTGTGGATTCCTCCTTTCACCACGTCGCCTTCTAACCCTGGCACGACCATCGTGCATGCCTAAACAAAATCGAGACTCGTCACTAAAGACAATACTGTTCCATTCCTCATCCCAGAGTGACCGTTGTCTGCACCACTCAAGGTGATTACGTCGGTGTTCTCGAGTTAAAGGGAGGACCCAGTGTGGCCGGTTTGAAAACAAGCCAAAACTTCTCATTCGTCGGTAAACACTTCGCATGCCAATAGGTCTTCCGTGTTCTGCAAACCATTCATTTGCAATGGACCTGGTAGTGGAAGCCATGCCTGACAACACCTAACCACAGTGTCTACACTTCTTTACACTCTAACTGCAATTGCCCGAAAAGAAAGTCCAGCTTCCCGAAGTCCCACTATACGGCCCCTATCAAACTCACTAAGTTGATGAAATCGTACAGGTCTCCGTACTCTAGGCATCGTAACCGATCGTAAAGGATGTCAAGAACCAAAATCCGCCAACGTTGATTCTTTACTGCGGCTGAAATATTCATTTTTAGAGCGTTAGTGAATTAAAAAAAAGCAGTATAAAAACCGGAATGTCCAACTGATAAGGCTGAAAATTTTTTCACTTGTTATTTACAGTAAGATAAATACATTCACCAACTTTTATTAAAATAAAACCATTTAAACTGGGTGTTCGGATTCATATGTCACTTAGTATATTTATGTTTGTAGTGTGGATTTAGATGCATGCAAAATTCTATCCTCCACATCATATGACCCCACTGAGGGCTTTCCCTGGGAACAAGTACCCAGAGGAGGAATTGAATGTAAAACATAAGCAGACCCAGGGCGGTCGTGTTAAGTGACATTAACCAGACTAGTGAACGTTCTAGGAAAATATGTTTGAGATATTTTGTATGCTTACACAAATTACCGGGCAGATCATTTTTAAATTATCTTCTTTGATAGTTACGTAACGTGGAATTTCCTTACTATGAAACAGCCACTGGCAGTATGCATGTCCAGTAACATTTCACCATACCATAGCATGTAAAGAATTCCCATCATTAAATAAATATGTATTCTGTATAGGTAAGCGTTCTTATAGGAGGAATATATCGCTAGGATTTAATTATTATTATTGAAGCGTGGTTCACGACTTCCCGCTGTTTTTATTAGCGTTGCTATTGCAGCTTCTTTGAAGTGTGTGTCAATTAACGTGAACAGAGCTGCTTTGTAGCTTCTTCAATGTTGAGTATTAGTCTGGGATTTTGTCTGTCGTGCCAGATGTTTGGAGATTAAAGTATCTCCAAATTGGCATTTTTTTACATAGTCAAACACTTCAAAATTCGACCTAAAAGTTTCTGATTTTAATAAAAAACGGATGCCTTTGCGTCCTTGGCATACCAGTAACATCGTGTAAAAATTTCTTCGAAACCCGAGTAGTACTTCTGAAGTTATAGGCGGCTATAATATTAGCGGACAGTCCAACAAACAGCAAACAGTCAGACCTACCGACAAACAGATAGAGAGACTTACCAACATCCAAAAAACATAACATCTCATTTTCTAAAATTTGTGCGATTACAATACTGCCCCGTCAGTAGTGAATGCATGTTGGAAAAAATTGACTTGGGTGGTTCTTGAAATGATCGATTGAATTAAAATAAGTACTGCGGAAAATCCTTCAAGCTACAATCTTATAGGTTTCGAGCTTATAAGTCACATCTGTGACTTTTTTACCCCTTTTCTAGACGTTTTCGTTTGTTATATATTTATGGGTGAACATTACATGATATAGATATATATACAGGGTGACTTTGAAGTTGAGTCATTAATTTTCAGATAATGATTGTAGAAGGAAGATAAACCAAAATATGTGTGTAAAAATAAAAAAAAAATAAAAAAAAAATTTTTACCTTGTTTTATAAAGTATCATCCCGACAAGTATTTCAGTGCGGACCTGTATTTGATCTCGTGAGGTCTTGGAGCACCGGCATGCCGTCCATATGTGAGGTCTTAAGTCAAATGATTCACGAACCCGTTGTACTATATTAACAAAGGCACGAGGGGTTGGTTGCACTCGATTGGGAAACCGATCCGCATAAACATGTGCCATTTTTTATTTCGTTTGAGCCACGCAACAGACACCACTATCCACTACCGACTGACACTGACTGTATACAACTGAATGTAATAATTGTAAAAACATCGTTCCAAATTCTTTCGCTTTTTTGTTTCCGATGCGATGAACCGATAAGGCGAATTATATCCGTTGTCGCCAAACACGAGCACATAATATTATTATTGAGACAGGGCGGTACTCAAACTTCCAAAGGGCTATAACTTTGTTACTTTAATTTTACCTGAAAAATGGTAAAGGAAAAAACATTTCTTTTGATCAGATCTACTCACTGTTAAAATAAATGACTCAACTTCGAAGTCACCCTGTATATTCTTTTTTCCTAATATCCATTAATCATATTCTCTCTACTTCAAGCGCCTATCTCTTTTTTGTTTTTTGCTTCACAGACACAGACTGTGTAAATTAAACCATTGTACTATGTATTGCTCTCTAAATGGTACCTGTACTGTTGGGCAATATACAGGGTGTTTCAGTTTATTGTTGCATAACTTTAAGATTCGATAGAACTTTTAAAATTAATGCATAAAGTCTATATAAACATGGGTCGAAAACTGCGTGGCTTCCGAAATACAGGGTGTTTAAATTTACTTTCTAAAATAGTTTTTTTTAAATATTTCGAACAACATTTGATGTATAACAGTGAAAATTGGTATACAAGGGTTTTTTGGTACGACAAAACGAACCATGGGCATAGTTTTACTGTAGCCGCTAGAGGGCGCTCTCTACCTTACCTTTAGTGTACTAAAATGACCGAAATTTCTTTCTTAGTGCAATTTTTTGCTTTTTGAATAAAAAAACTGATTCTTCGCACTTTTCAACATAAAAAAGCTCTTTTGTGAATTTTCGTTATAGTTAGCCGTTTTTGAGATATTTCGATTTTTAAGGTTCTATGCATTTTTGATTATTTATGATAAAATAACGTTAAAAAGTCAGTATCTCGACAATTTTTAGAAGTAGGCTGTGCCTGCAAATATTTTTGAAATTGAAAGCAGAATAAGATTAAACGTCAATTAGTTGACAGTTAGTTTTGTTGCCTGTTGAAACCTGAAACGTTTTTTTGCAATTGTGAATGCACGAAATTTAGTTTCTTTTACCTGTTTTTTTTTGTAAGTTTTATAAAAATGCCATTTTTATTCTCCAATCAAGAGTTAGCGGATATTCATTTTGTGTATGGCTTTGTAAATGGAAACGCAGCAGAAGCAGCCAGAGAATACGCACGAAGATTTCCAAACAGACGACATCCACCTCGCTCAGTATTTGTAAGAGTGCATCGCCCAATAATTGAAAATGGTTTTGGAAATCTCCAAAGGGATCAAAACATAAATGTTCGTCAGCGCAGATTTACCCGTATGATTCTGCGTGAGTTTGATAGAGATCCGACCACAAGTGTTAGGAGAGTTTCTGGTGCCTTGGGAATTTCAGCAACATGTTCACTGTGTTCTTAGAAGTGACCATAGACGTCCTTACCATTTGCAACCTGTGCAAGGACTACAGCCAGGGGACGAAGAACGAAGAATCACATTTTGTCAGAGGATTCTTGATAGAACTGATAATAATAGGGTGTTTTTAAGTAACGTTTTATGGACCGATGAGTCATGCTTCACTAGACGTGGAGTGGTAAATTTTCATAATCAACATATTTGGTCGCATGAAAATCCGCATCCAGTTCGGGAAAGAAATTTTCAGCATGAATTTAGTGTGAACGTGTGGATTGGTATCTACCGTAATCGACTATTTGGACCCTACCTTTTGCCTTCAAGGTTAAATGCTGCGACCTTCTTGGAATTTTTAAAGGCTGAACATGCAAATATGTGGGATGATGTTATGTTAGATTTAAGAAGATTGGCCTGGTTCCAGATTGATGGTTGTCCAGATCATTATTCGAGGATAGTTAGAAACTGGCTGGACGAAAATTATCCAGAAAGATGGATCGGCCGTGGAGGACCAGTCGCCTGGCCCCCACGATCCCCTGACCTAAGTCCATTAGATTTCTTTGTGTGGGGATTTCTAAAAGAAAAAGTGTACTAGACTCCCGTAACCACAAGAGATATGCTAGTAGACAGAATCAGGAATGCATGTGATGAAATAAGGCCTTATTTGAATAATGCTATATCACGTTCGATCATTCGTAGATGTGAATTGTGTATTGAACAATTGGGTTTACATTTCGAGCAACTAGTTTAGATTTTGTATGTTTGTCCTAACTATCCAATAGCATTTTAGTTGTAAATAATTAATTTAATTTGTTAGAAATAATATTGGAAAATTAAACAAATTAATATTCTGTTTTTTTGTGTTTAATTGGAGTTAGGAATTATTGCTGTGTTTAAAAACACAATCTAAACGATCATCTTAATTACTTGTAATGCCCAAATCGAAAATGTAAAAAAAATATTATTTTCCCATAAATTATTAAAAATGCCTCGAACCCTAAAAATCGAAATATCTCAAAAACGGCTAACTATAACGAAAACTCACAGGAGAGCTTTTTTATGCAGAAAAGTGCGAAGAATCAGTTTTTCTATTCAAAAAGCAAAAAATTGCACTAAGAAAATTTTTTCGGTCATTTTAATACACTACAGGTACAGTAGAGAGCGCCCTCCAGCGGCTACAGTAAAACTATGCCCATGGTTCGTTTTGTCGTACCAGAAAACCCCTGTATACCAATTTTCACTGTTATACATCAAATATTGTTCGAAATATTTAGAAAAAACTATTGAGTAAATTTAAACACCCTGTATTTCGGAAGCCACGCATTTTTCGACCCATGTTTATATAGACTTTATGCACTTTTAAAAGTTCTATCAAATCTTAAAGTTATGCAACAATAAACTGAAACACCCTGTATACTTTATTATTATTATCATAATATGGAATCAATCAAATTACGAATCCTCTACCTATCATTGACCTGCCATATGCTGAATATTTAATTTTGTTCCAGGACCACCCCGTCGACATGCAGTCGACGCGGGCGGGGGCTCTGCCCCTTCTCCATAGGCTGGTGACCGTTCTGGCGCTGAGCACCGCCCCTTTCGCTGCGGCGGACGTTTCGCACGTCCTCCGAGGCGAGGCGCACCCCCCACCACACTATGCGGCAGCCAATGCGCGCGAAGTCAATTCGCTGACGGCCGACGCGGGCGGTGACTACTGGTGGATGGCGGATGACAGTCCGTTCAAGGCCGCTTATGACGAATACAAGAAGTGCGGCGAAAAGGGGAACTGCTTGAACGTGGGTGGGAAGGCGGGTGTCAGTGTAGCGGCTAATGGTGAGTGCTTAACTATTTGAAATGAATCTGTTTATTTTCCGTCTCTGTGACTACCTAGTTTCATGCTTTTCACTATACTATAACTATCTAAAACTGTAATGACTGATCGATGTTCACGTGAACATTACTTAACTACCAGTAGTCGGCTGTTCATAGGCGGGGTATGAATGTTTAACATGGGTGAACTAGATTTATCAGATGCTTAATAAAGAGTGGTTTGAAACATATTGTAAGTCCAAAATTTGGGAATTACCTTTATTCATCGTCGCTTCCACTTACATCTGACAGTAATAAACTGTCGCTATCGCTTTCCTCGTTGAAATTGACTATAACTGGCTCTATGATGGTGTCGATGTGGTGGTCAAGCTGCCACATTTTTGTTTCTTCCTTCACAACATGACGGATAGCATTCTGCCAAGCTTCGGGCGTTACTAGCTGTATGGAAGTCTCAAGTAAAACCTTAACGTTTGGTAATTTGAAGGTTGTGTTATGGCGCGCAATATAACCCTTCACTTGAGCCCAGATGAGCTCAGTTCACAGTGGTAGGGCGGTAACCGCAGCACAGTGACACCACATTGACGGGCCATTTCATCAGTCACGTAACTAATGTTCGCAGGTTTGTGCTGTTTAATTTTTTCATACAATTCCGCTTTCACACATGAATCGTCAAACGGGATTGCTTTTTCGCGCAACCATTGCTGCATGTCACCTTTTCGAGATCCCATAGTCGGTAACGTTTGGCTCGACGACTATGTTAGGAAGCATTATCCATGACGATCAAAGAGTTGGACTCAACTCGCTGAAGCACCCCTTGAAACCAGCTCTCGAAGCAGCTGGCATTCATTTCGTCATGGTAATCACCTCCTTTCTTAGAGACGAAAATCAAGTCACACTCTTCTAAAAAGCCACTATCGCTACCAATATGAGTTACGATCAATCTTTGACCCTTCCCTGACGGTCCACGAAGACCTGTTGACAAACCTTCAATGCTTGCTTGTCGGTTACTCACTACGTTTTTGCCTATCCAGTTTTTTTTAACTGTGTGACCTGCATTTACCCATTTCTCGTCCAAATAATAGATTTTTCTGCTTTGTCGCCTATATTCAATCATTTCGCGTAGGTATTTTCGACGGCAGGCGACTATTTCAGGTCTCTCTATCAATACTGACTTCCGATTACGCGTTTCGTAACGAAAATTAATTTCGTGCAGGGATTTCCTCATTACCTCGACGCTCATTTGGGGTATAATTTCATTTTCCTTGATCGCTGCATGTACAACCTTGAGGGTTGGTATCTCATTCCTAAAGAAGAATGAATGTACGGTTCGCCTTAACGCCATTTTGCTATCGTCATCCAATTTAACGGCCTTTCGTCCCTTCAAATTGAACTTTGGATCAGTAGTAGCTTCAGTTTTTTTCTTTTCATGCGCCACCCTGCGAATGGTCCACTCTGGAACGCCTGTCATACTTTCACAACGCGCGAGTGCATCTCCCTGCGACATAGTTCTGTTCAGATAATTGAACACGTTGAGCACGATTTCTTTCGCGTCCCTCTTCAGTGCTTTACGAAGCCGTCTACTTGTTCCCTGGCTTTCAGTACTTCCACTCGTGCCATTTGTACTCTCCATGGTTAAGTGTAACCAAAACAGTAACCACAGAAACCACAACAATAACAATCACACAACAATTCTTATAAAAAAACACAATATGCGATCGCTCAACGAAACACGCTCCAATGCGTTGCCGACGCCTATGAGTCTGCCGGTCGAGGCGCGTCTTTGATTTCATTGGTTCTACCGGCGGAGAACAATCAGCCATTATTTCCATCTCTGTCTGTGCTGTTGACCACCGCAAAGCCACAGAAACGACACATGTCGTACGCTATACGGCTGTACTGGAAGGAAGCCGGGATCAAGCTCTGATCACGTGTTGATCACGCGTATGAGTCATTACAGTTTTAAATAGTTGTAGTATAGTAAGATATAGTTGTGTGGATAGAGACAAATGGAAAGCAAATAAGCGGATATGACCTACGGAAAACACACTGTTTTGTGCGCAATAACTGAAAACACTGACAAGTTGGCTATCATAGTATGTTCTCTCCTTCAGAAAGGCTGGGGTATTTTTAGAAATCTACTGTTCCGTGTGAGTGTCAGCGCTCGCCTATTGCGAGGCTATATTTTCTGTTTGAGTTGCAGGAAATTTCAGGTTGAGATAACAGATGATATAAATCAAAAGGATGGAAAATTTGGTGCAAATAGATATTCGTAACATAACCTCAAAATAGAGCGCTGACAAGGAACAGTAGAAAATTATGAAAGGAGGCTATAAAGGCGTCCTATTATTGTGTGAACGACTGACGATACGACCCTGAGTCTCTGTAGCCGTGACCAACTACGGACAACGGCATTTAATGAATCTTATGAATCTATAGTACGGTATTGGTCTAGTCGCATGGATACAAACGAAAAGCAAACAAGCGAGTGTTGTATAACGAAAAACGCAGTACGAGTATGTGCTTGAAAACAAATCGTTCGCCAAAGCTCGGTCCGGCTCACAAGTTCCAAATGCCAAAGGCCCCAACAGTCTGTAGGTTAAAAAATGCAATAGCCCAATACAGGAAGTTTGTAATAACAAAGCTAATGAATGTGAAATAACAGCGAAAAAGTAAAAAAATAAATGAAGAAGTTTCCACCGTTCATCGAAAAGAAATTTCAAGTATCTTACACGTGTTCGTCAATCGTGTTCACCTCTGTTTTTTTTTTTATATCGAAACAGCCGCGCAGGCAGAAGCCTAAATGCCGGAACACCGCGGCTGCTATGATGATCCCAAAGAAATTTTGTTAATACAATTTTTGAACTGCCTCAGGTTAGTAGAACTGGGAAAAGCTTCCTCAAGTAGATTGTTCCACAATCTAGACACCCTCGGGACAAAGGAGCGGTCGTATCGGCCAGTTCTGGATGTACGAAGTTGGACACTGTTAGGATGGGACGCCGAAGTCAGGCGGGTCTGTCTGGCAGGCACATCGCGCGGCGGCATCATGGAAGAGAGCTCTGAGGAGCAAAGCCCGTTGGTGTAGCGATAGAAAAGAGCTAGATCGCCGACGGCCCGCCGGTGCGAAGGAGTCCCGAGACTGTCTGTTAGAGAAGAGTCATCGATCAGTCGGACCGCCCTCCTCTGGACAGCATCGAGCATGGACAATGTAGTCGGGGCGGCAGCACCCCAAATGTGTGAGCAATACTCGAGGCTAGGCCTTACCTGGGCCTTGTATAGAGTGAGAAGGTCATGCGGAGAAAAGTACTTCTTAGCCCTAAACAAATAGCCTAGCTTTTTCCCAGCAGCTGCAGTTATTGAAGAGATGTGTTCGTGCCAGATCAGGTCCTCGGTGATCTGGACTCCGACCAGCCGAAATGAATGGCTCTTTGGTAGAACTCGACCGTCCATCGAAACTGTATGAGCGCTAGGACGCTTTTTATTCGTCAAAGTACAGTACTGTGTTTTGGAAGCATTGAACTGTACAAGATTGTTGCGTCCCCAAGCAGTGATAGCGTCCAGGTCTCTTGTCAGAGAAGAAGTCGTCGCTAGTCTTCTTTTTTCCAGCTCAGCGGCAGAGATCGGCTTGTCACTCTGAATTCCTGCATGTAGAGTGCTGTCATCAGCGAAGCTGTGGATTGGGTTGATCGTGCAGGAAAGGAGGTCGTTGATATGTAAGAGAAACAGTGTTGGAGCCAAGACCGATCCCTGGGGAACACCCGCGTTGACGTTGTGGGATGAAGAGGAGAATCCGTCAATTACGACGGATATCTTGCGGCCAGAGATAAAGTCCGCCACCCATCTGCAAAGCTTTTCTGGGAGGCCGTAGGATGGAAGTTTGCTTAAGAGGGCAGCGTGCCACAGCTGATCGAACGCTTTCGTGATGTCAAGAGCAACGACATGAGCCTCACCATGAGACTGGATGAGTTTACTCCACAGTTGCGTGACGTAAGCTAGGAGGTCCCCTGTGGATCGTTGGTGCCGGAAACCGTACTGCCTGTCGCTAATCAAGCTGTGACGTTCGAGGTAGTCCAGAAGCTCGCGATTTATGCACCTCTCCATCACTTTACTTATAACAGAAAGCAGAGCTATAGGCCTGTAGTTGTAAGGGTCGGTTTTAGATCCTTTTTTTGGGATGGGCTGTACATGAGCAAATTTCCAGTTTTCTGGAAATGTGCCGGATTCATAAGATATCTGGAAGAGACGCGAAAGAACTGGAGCAAGCTCCGCTGCACATCTCTTCAGTACAATGGCAGGAATCAAGTCCGGACCAGAAGCTTTGTTGATGTCGAGCGACAAGAGCACTCGTCTTACGGTCTTATGCCTGAATGTTACCTCCCGCATAGTGTGGGGAACCCTTTGAATTGACGGCACTTAGGCGTTGGTGGGGACGTCCATGGTGGAGTTGGCAGCAAAGATCTTGGCTAGCACTTCCGCCTTGGCCTTTGAGTCGAATACAATAGTTCCATCCTGACACGTAAGTGGTGGAAGGCTACTGTGTGAGAAGTTCTGCTTGGCCAGCGTCCAGAAAGACCGACTGCCATTGCGCTGCGACATTACCCTGTGCCTAATCTTTATATCATGCTGGTTTTTGGCATTGCGAACCGCTTCGTTATATTTGTTTCTGGACTCGACGTCGGCTTGTCTGTTCTCTACAGTGGGGTTTTGTAAGTAGGTTCTGTGGGCCTTGAACTTCTGCTGGCGAGCAGTGTCACACGATTTGTTGAACCAGCCGTTGGACCCTGGTTTAGTAACTTTCACTGTGTGAGGGATGTATTCCTCCATTCCGACGTGGATAATTTCGGTTATTGAAGAACAGACAGTCGACGCATCCGCGTCAGTGAAACAGACATCTCTCCAAGGAAAGCTAGAGAAGAAGTCTCTGAGACCCTCCCAGTCGTCATGTCCGTAATGCCAAGTTTTGCTGCCTGTGCGAGTTTCTGCTGCCACAGCGGCTTCTGAACGAAACCTAACCTCCACAACACCGTGATCTGAGTTACCCAGGGGGGACAGGACAGCAGTGCTGTAAGCGGCAGGATGCGTGGTCAGAAAGAGATCCAGCAGGCTACTGGCGTGTGACGAGACGCGGGGAAAAAAAGTAGGGCTCGTCACCAGCTGGGTCAGCCCTTGAGTAAGAGCGAACGCTTCGACTGCACGACCTGCTGCATCGGTCTTATTTGAGCCCAATCAAAGCTCATTATGGGCATTGAAATCACCGAGAAGAACTACCTCTGAAGCGGGGTGATTGATGTTCAGGAAGTCGATCTGGACGGCGAGGTATTCGAGTAGGTCATCCCAGTTATGGTTCGAGGGAGAGCGATAAAGGCAGCAAATAAATTTGGGTAATGTTTTGGAATTGAGGCGAAGCCACAGAATGTCCTTCCGGTCTGATTCCAAAGAAAGATCCCTGGAGCAGGAAAGACTGCTGCGGACAAAAGCCACAACTCCCCCGTTCTTTCTCAGATTGGAGTGCACCTCGTAGTTTGGGAAGTTGAGATGGTTAATCGGTGCAGTCTCTGAGATTTTTGTCTCCGCCAAGAAAAGCACGGCGGGACGATTGGATTGCAGGTAGTGATGAACAGCATCAATGTTGCTGTTGATGTTCGAAAAACAAATTTTATCTTCGATGTTGTTCCCTCGAGCCCACCCTCCACCCGGACATTCCGAGAGTGGAGTGAGTTTACCTCTGTTCCAAACACTAAACATTTCATTTCGCGTCAAGCAAAAAAAAATCACGAAAGATCTTTAAAAACGATCTGCATGCACTCGCAAAGCGTCGGTAGCGTTTAAAAGACACTCATTCAAAAAATACGGAGAACTACGGATCTGATCGAGATGCAGGACCGGATTAGGTTTTGTTTGATTTAGAGGATCGCAACATCTCGATAATCTTAAGATTTTGGTGTATATGTTACTAGAAAAAACTGCCTACCTTTCCAAGATCAACACTGTTCGTGTACCCGAAGTACCAACTTTGAGAAGCCTCTGTCTAAATCATCGAATTATCAGAATACTGCAAAAATTCCTTTTTACCTACTTAAAGCTTTTTACTATAAGTATACCATTCAGAAGTTATTTAGAAGGCCATATATGTTGACCCATAAGGAAATTATTTAAGGTGTTATGCTTTATTGTAATGGAAAGTACGAAGCAATTATGTTCATAAGTCGTTAGCTTTCAGCAGATATTAACGCCATTTGAATAATTAGTAATCTTTATATTGGTCTAAGACGTAAAATTGTAAATTAGAAACTGAGCTCTGCGTATTTTCGTATTTTTAACTCATATCGCCGTAACGAGCCAGAGGAGGTGGTTCAATTAACATACATGATGTCTTAGATAGGTACAGTTTTTTTTGGAAAAAAGTTGTAGAGGTTAAAGATTGGGGCTTTTCGTGGATAAGGCAGGATATATCCAATTTTTTTATGGCGTTAGTACCATTATATCCCAGACCGCAATATTGTCAAATGGATAGGAATTAAAGACTTTTTGTATGGTCCAGTTTGACTGAGTTGATCCTTTATTTTTTTATACATGTTTGTAGCTAAGTAGCTAACTTTTTCTCAGAGGTATTACTTTGTGTCTATTACAATTGTTTATGACCTGATGACTGCGTTGCCTAGAAAGTGCGGAGTTAACCTACTTGATGTCGTTTTTTGTTTCGATATTATATCTTGTAATGGGTGATTTTTTTGCTAGTATCTTTTTTGCAACACTGTTTTTGTTCAGTTTGATCTATAATTTAACCATCAATCGACTTACGAACGAACAACGCTTGCAAATTATTGAATTTTACTATCAAAATTCATGCTCGGTTAAGAGAGTACATCGAGCACTGCTTCCAATTTATGGGCAATTCTGACTAAATTTCGAACCCAGTTTACATTATTGGACATTAAACCACCAACACGCAGACGTAGAGTGAGGACTGAAGAAAATATTGCGGCTGTATCCGCCAGTGTTAGTGATGACCGTGAAATGTCGATTCGAGGCCATTCGCAGCAATTGGGCCTCTGTTACTCCACTACGTGGAAAATTTTGCGACAGGATTTGGATGTTTTTTTTGAAAATCAAATCCTATACCTCTTAAAAAATTATCCGTTATTTTTGATATGCATATGTAACTATGAGATTAAGGCATTCCTTGAAAACTACGTATTGCAATTAAATATACTCCTAAAAATTCATTCTACTATATTTTAATTTCACAAAATTTCCATTCATGGAAATGTAATACTTAGAATCTGTTGCTACCAGACTAGGGCATAAAGTAGCTGTGATTCATTGGGCGGTTCTGATATTATTTTGTCCGTGCCGTACTAGGTCATTTTATGATGTAATTCAAGAAAAATGTACCCTGGTTTGAAAGAATTCGGCAGACAAATTCAAGAAAATTGGGGAATGGAATTCTATTCAGCAGCTTTTGTAGGTTAGAGAGCTTCATCTGTGATCCTTTCTGATAAAATCTACTGATATCGGAAATCTTCGTTGTCCTGTGCTTTCGAAAGAAATCTAATTTTTGAAAATCGTTAAAGTTCGACCTACATATGTTTTAGATTAGAGACTCTGTGCTCTCGAAGCAAATTTACCTTTTATTTTCATATTCTTTACATTTAGATCAATATTAAGGTCTAAATTATTTGTTTCAGCAAACCTTCCACCGATAGACATTAAGAAAAACCCTTTTTTCAATGGTGCCATCCAAAGTAACAGCATATCCTCCGGTCAAGGATCTAAGATTGAAGGAAGTAGTCATGGTTTCCACTCTGGAGTCAATATCGATATCAGCAAAAATCCATTCCTCAATGGAGAGTTTGTGACAGGTTAGTTTGTCAGTAGCTAACACCATGCACTACCATTACATCATACATGATAACAAATGCATCACTCATATCATGAATCATGTTTCATTGTGAAGGTAGTACCGTTCTTTGTATGACGGTCTAGAAAAGGTCAGAATCTGGTGGTTCAGATGAAGGCAAGAGGCTCAAACACAGAGTGTGTGGGGAAAGTTGATAATATCATGGTGTGAAGAGAGAACAGAGTAGAACAGTAGGGGAGAATAGCCAATCCTGATCTCCCTACCCCATACCCACCTTCCCCCGCCCTTGAGCGGGAGGACTGAGAATTGGCCTCTACTTAGAACATATTAAAACGCAAATTCCATTACAGAAAAACATTTCTATTACATTTTTGAAGAAAACCTACAAACTATATGCATTAACAGGATCAATCCTCGACAAATACATTATATATCGCAATAAATATAAAAAATGATGTTCTATCTAACTTATTTTTGTGCATATTCCGTACCTTGAAGATCGATGGAAGCCGTAGATCATGTAGTAAGGCTTGATGTGTAGGTACATGACCATGAGTTGAAGTAGGGCTGAGGTTGGACATATAAATCCGAACACCCAGTTTAAATGGCTTTATTTTAATAAAATTTTGTATAAGTACTTAATGAAGCATAATAAGTAAATGATAAAAATTTCCAAATGACTGCACTGCTTTAAAGCCCTTTGACCTTTAATAATGTGTGGATGCACCCTGATGTGCTACGCATTCTCCAACGCGCCTAGGCATGCTTCTGATCAGGTGGTCAATGTCCTCCTGTGGTATCTCATTCCAGGCAACCACCAACTCCTCTCGAAGTGCTTCTAGCGTCTGAGGAGGACGTTGCAAACTAAGCAATCTCCTACCCATCATATCCCACACGTGCTCAACTGAGGATAAGTCGGGAGATCTTGGTGGCCATGGTAACAATGTGACATCATTATGTTGAAAGAAGTCTATTGTGACTCTTGCAACATGTGGTCGGGCATTATCTTGTTGGAAAGTTGGATCTACCAGGGTGTCAAGATAGGGTAAAAGATGGGGTTCTAGAACTTCGTGGATATAACGCTGCGCGTTCATGTTAATTCTGATGAAGATTAAAGGTGACCTGGAACCATAAGCTGTAGCACCCCAAACCATAACTCCAACAGTGTGATGAACATGTCTTTCAACAAAAAACTGTGGATTCCTCCTTTCACCACGTCGCCTTCTAACCCTGGCACGACCATCGTGCATGCCTAAACAAAATCGAGACTCGTCACTAAAGACAATACTGTTCCATTCCTGATCCCAGAGTGACCGTTGTCTGCACCACTCAAGGCGATTACGTCGGTGTTCTCGAGTTAAAGGGAGGACCCAGTGTGGCCGGTATGAAAACAAGGCAAAACTTCTCATTCGTCGGTAAACACTTCGCATGCCAATAGGTCTTCCGTGTTCTGCAAACCATTCATTTGCAATGGACCTGGTAGTGGAGAAACGGTCCCTTAAGGCCAATAATCTTAGGCGGCGATCTTCACGGTCTGTTGTTCTACGGCGGCGTCCAGTGCCCCTTGGTCTTTGCGTACGGCATTCTCGAAGCCATGCCTGACAACAAGTAACCACAGTGTCTACACTTCTTTGCACTCTAACTGCAATTGCCCGAAAAGAAAGTCCAGCTTCCCGAAGTCCCACTATACGGCCCCTATCAAACTCACTAAGTTGACGAAATCGTACAGGTCTCCGTACTCGAGGCATCGTAACCAATCGTAAAGGATGTCAAGAATCAAAATCCGCCAACGTTGATTCTTTACTGCGGCTGAAATATTCATTTTCAGAGCGTTAGTGAATTAAAAAAAAGCAGTATAAAAACTGGAATGTCCAACTGATAAGGCTGAAAATTTTTTCACTTGTTATTTACAGTAAGATAAATAGATTCACCAACTTTTATTAAAATAAAACCATTTAAACTGGGTGTTCGGATTTATATGTCACTTAGTATATATGAATTTCATTCAAAAATAGTGAAAAATAGAGTGTCAGTTTTGAAGCAGCTAAACCCTTGTAAATGGCTTGAAACTCACTGCGTCGGAGCCGCCTTAAGATATTGTTTTTGGATGATGCATGATATGTACGTTACATTCAAAAATTACAATTAGAATATGACGATTAGAATATAAGAACTTCATCTGCATATAACTCGACTTCACGATACTTTTCACATGTAAGTAAGTATCTAAGATTTGAATCAAATATAACACCTAGATTGTTATCATTATGAAAAAATGAAATATTTGTGTCGTTGATCGATTGGTGATATTGTAATATGGTGGAAGGAACACCGTTCAAGAATTATATACAAGCCATTGGCTAGTTACAGCTTCGGGCTCTATTCTAGTTATCATAAAATGTTCATAGCTCGGTTAGACTCCGTCAAGTCACTTTAATCTTTGCAACTAAGTTTGTAATTAAGCCACGGAACTCAGCGGGGCTTTTCAATAAAGTTTTTCAAAATATTTGTGTAGCTTCAATGCTATGTCACTCATTAACGTTGGTGTGCCAGTCTGTCGGTTTGCCCGTTGATGTTTGATCCCTGTATAACTTGGAAAGGAATGTTAGGATTTTGAAGAAATTTGAACACGAAATTACTACAACGCCAAGAATGGAAAAACCCCTATGTCCAAAAAAAAAACGCACAAACTCCATTTTCGACGTTTCAGAGACTCCTGTCCAGTTTTGTAAGTTCATAGGTTCCCTATATATTCATCCTTAAGGCTTAAAATGGTAGACATACAGGGTGGCGCATCGAAAACGAAACAGACGCATTTACTGGCAGCTCAGTTTTTTTTTTGGAAAAACGCTCAGACCAGTCGATTTTGTTTTCGAGGGGGACACAAGTTTGGCAAAAAATCACGTTAGCACGTGCAGCCCCCTGGGCGGGGGTGACACCATCCCCAAAATCTTAAATAGAAAGGGGGGTCGAGTGATACCCTATTTTAAAGGTCTTTCAATTCCCTTTATAATGATGCAAAATTAATGTACTTCAGTTTAGTAGTTTTGAAGATTTATTGATTTAAAGCTTAAATAAAACTAATACACCATCATTAGTGGAGATCAATACACTTGGCAGCAAAGTAATTTAAAAATGAAGAATGAACTGACCCGTTAGGCAAGTAAAGGTTGAAAATGGCCACCATGACTCTCCATACAATAATAAAGATTTTGCTCAAAACGTTGCCGCAAATTTTGCAATATTTGAGGAGTAATGTGAAGGCACTCATTCACAATTCTTTGTCGCAGGTCTTCTAAGCTTAGTAGCATAAATTTTGCTTTTTGAATGACCCCACATAAAGAAATCAAAAGGTGATAAATCTGGCGATCTTGAGGGCCATTCAATGGCACCTCTTCTACCAATTCATCGATATGGAAACGTCTGATCTAAATATTGTCGAACACTTAATGCGTAATGTGGTGGGGCGTCTTCCAGTAATTCCAAATATATTTCACCGATCAAATTTCCAGGTAAGAAAAAAGGACCAACTAAATGATCGCCAAAAATACCAGCCCAAACATTTAATTTTTGTGGCTGCTGTGTATGAACCTCATGATAAATTCTGGGATTAGAATCGGACCAATATCGACAGTTATGACGATTTACTACGCCATTTAAGAAAAAGGAACATTCGTCGGAAAAGCAAGTGTTGAATAGAAAATGTTCATCGTTTATAATTCGTTCACACATAATTGTAATCGCCGATCAAAATCGTCTTCATTAAGTTCTTGTACCAGGTGAATTTTATACGGATGAAAACTATGGGCCTTTAGAATCCGTTGGACAGTATGTCGACTAACACCACACACAGTCTCCAATTTGCGGGTACTTAACGTAGGATCTACATAAACTCGCCCTAAAACCCCCACTTCTATTGCTTCGTTCCTTATGGGATTTTCAATGTTGCTATTTTTATTGGCGACTGACCCAGTTTCCCGAAATTCAGCTACAAGTTCTAGAACATATTTTCGATGCACGTTACTGTTCTCATGTCGCTCATTAAATATGTCTGCTGTTCTATTAGCGCACTGATTACACTGGACCACAAATTTTAGTTTTTTAATTGTATCTTGTGGGAAAAGTGCACTTCTTTGTTAATTTTGGGGCGCTGAATCCAAAAATGACAATGAAATAAAAAAATTAGTTGCGGTTTAGAAAAAAAACTTTTTATTTTTAAGGATATATTAAAAAAAGTAACAAGATTCATATACTTATAAGAATCACTATATGCGCTGTCTTTTTGCTGTTCTTTTATGGATCGTTTCTGGAGCATCTCTACCAAGAGTCCAACAGTAGTCTGCAAGCATGGAAGGATTCCACTTTCCCTGGTACCTTTTTTCCATTGTTGAAATATCCTGATGAAAACGTACGCCGTGCTCATCACTTACGGCTCCGCAATTGTCAGGAAAAAAGTCCAGGTGTGAGTGTAGGAAATGTATCTTAAGAGACATATTACATCTTTTGATACGATGACATTTTGACAAGGGTTTTATAGTTGTCAGCTTTTCTATTTCCCAAGAAATTAGTGACCACCAGACGAGCAGTTTTTTCAATACCTGTTAAAGAGTTTTCAAACTGTGTATATTTCAAAATATTTCGAATCTGTGGCCCAACAAAAATACCTTCTTTAACCTTTGCCTCACTTAGTCTTGGAAATTTCTGACGCAGGTATTGAAAAGCTGACCCATCTCTGTCTAATGCCTTGACAAAGTTTTTCATTAGGCCCAACTTGATATGCAGTGGTGGTAATAAATTTTTTTTCGAATCTACTAATGGCTAATGCTGTACATTTTTTGACTTGGCTCTAGGAATTGACGAACAGGCCAGTTTTGTCTGGTGTAATGAAGTGCCTTTGTCCGACTGTCCCATTCACACAAAAAACATCAAAACTTTGTGTAGCCTAGCTGCAGCCCAAGTAAAAGTGCAACAACTTCCAAATCGCCACAAATATGCCATTGGTGCTC